ACCCCGTCACCTTCTTTGCCCCCTCCTCTGGGCTCCTGACTCTTTCTGCAGCCTTTCTCCTGCTACTCCTTGGCTCCTCCTTACTGCTGTCTTTCTGCCACACTCCTGATCTTCTGGTAGGAAAGATCTACACCTAGCCTTCTCGGACAAAGGCGAAAAATCTCGGAGGGCCCGTATGCAAGTTTCGCACGTTAAAGATCCCGTGGTGGTCTAAAATCGATAAGAGTAGGCTTCGGCCGCCAGCCGGGCAAAATTCAAAATTTCCTACCAGCTGAAAATATTAGGTGTGTCCCGCGCGCTCATATGACCTTATGCAGTTGCGAGCGCCGTAAAACCCTCTACAATAAAAAAAAAAAAAAAGGAGAGCGGAGACCCTGGCTGTACGGACTGTGAGTTCTGGACGGAAGGCTAAAAATCACTTCTACTCATGAATTGTGTGTGCTAACTAGTTTCTGATCCTGTCTGGTTCGTAAGGTGTAAAAACATCCCGCTGAATTTGTTGACGAGAAGAGTATTTGAGGTGCGAAAAACAACCAGGAGAAATGTCTCAGTTGTTGGGATAACTATTTTGAACAATGGAGGGAAATGGCGAAAAAAAAAGTCGTACCTGGTCAAAAATGTATATCCATCAGAAATCACACGTTTAACCATTTCTTAATAACATTTTGAAAGGAATTTATAATATTTAATCTAAATACATTTATTCTTTTATATATTATTTTTACAAGATGTTGTACTTCACCAAAGGTTTAAAATGTCTTAGAAATTAGGTCAACATTATGAAAGTTAAAACCGTTTTTCTCCAAACTTTGTTTTTACACCCTTCGTTATAAAATGTGGCATATCTTTAAAACTACTCAAGTTATTTGGAAAATTTAACATTCTTCAGGCACACACATGTTAAGTGACTGGTCGACCTACGGCAATAAGACAGCAGCTGTCGGAGTAGCCAAAGCGTGTCGATTTGTCGTTTGGAAAAAAAAAATTAAAAACTGTGTAAATTCTGTGACGTGTTTAGTTGCGGTAACTGACAGAACAAATGGGTTATTTTTTATGTCCCATCAGTTACTGAAACAAACACCTCACAAAATATGCATAAAGTACTTTTTTTTAAATGGCTCCATCTCTATATATTATATTTGTGAAAGTCCTCACTTTGGCCGCCTAAAACTCCCAAACCACTTACCTTTCGAATTTGACCAAATTAATGGTGGGTCAGAATCATTTAAAGGGTGCACAGTTTTATTGAGGAGCCTGAAGTCACTGTAGTTTAATTTTCAGTTTTTCATTAGTTTCATTTAGATCTATTCTTGGGAAAGTCCGTCTTCTAAAACGCCATTGTAAACAAGTGAGGTTTCCGTTCACTAGCCGTGCGCACTTTTGAAATTTTGTAGTGTACAACCACGAAAGCAGAATACAGAATCAATCTATACATCTATTGTATATTTGGCAACTTGGAAACACATGTGTCACTTTTCTCTCAAAATGTATTGCTCCATTCCAGTAGAGTGTAAATAAGTAGGCCTGTGACTTTCAGTTGATGTTAAAGCAACGATCATTCCTTTCATCGAAAGGGACCCTAGCTAATTTAATATAATTTTTAATTTGTCTTTCAAATAATCTAATCATTTAAAGTTGAAATAAATTAACTGATCTTGAATTCCAGTATTATCACTGTAAGAAAGTATTGTCCTCTCCCGTCAGTTATCGGGGAATAGCCCTCATACTTGTTGACTCATTAAGGACGTAGCGGGCGCATTATAAGGTCGCTACCCAAGACTGACAAAGTTATGTCTACCCTATATCAAGTTTTGAGAAATTTAACGTGAAATATTTTTGAGTTTCACCTTCACTTTCTGCTCCCCCCCCCT